AAATTGTGAAAGTTAAAATCCCGTCGGATATTTCCGTAACCACGATCTTTCCGGGCTTTATTACCAAGGATGCATTAATTACGAAAAATTCACAGGCTATTTATTTGCGCAGTATTTTATGAGGATTATTTTCTCGACGCAATGTCATGGGAATTCTCCCGGTGCTCCTTCTGCCGTGTAATTACCCTGCAAAGGCTATTGTCAACGGAAGTTCTCCGAAAATTCTGAGAACTCATTCTAGACCAAATGACAGCCAATAGTTGTCATTCATCACTCCTGAATCAACATCCAATAAAATACTGAAGTTGAATTCAACAGAATTGGATGGAAACGAATAGATTTAGCATATGCCGAGTCAGTGGAAAATCTCGGTGAAAAGCCGGTGAAAAATTTCTAGTACAGGATAAAAAAAAGTCACTTGTTCTCCCCCAACTTGTGCTTTTATGGCGTCCCATTTGGCGCGAGAACGAGCGCCCGAAGTTTTTAGTATCGGCCCACCGCAGATTCAGTTTAAAATATGTTTACGATTACGGAGTTCCGGATTATCAATTCGTTTGGCTCATTATTATCTCGGTGAATAGAATTTTGTATCAACGGTGTTTGCTGACTTCCGGGGGAATCGCCCCTGGGGTGAATATGTTGTGAAAATACTTGGCTATTTGTGTTGATGTTTATGTTGGAGCACTGCCGAGTCGCTGAGGAATGAGAATTGGGTTGAGACCTGAAGAATGTAACAGTCAAAAACGAGTGACGATGTGGGTAGACAAATATTTCCATAACATCGAGAAGAACGAGTGAATCTTATCCCGGATTCTTCATCAATTCGCAACAGCTTTCGGCGGATGTCTGATAGCTTCTGCGAGAGTGACAGCTTCAATATTGAACTGCCACGAACGCACCACCCGGTTCAAGCCAGACGTCGATGCCATATAATTTCCCTGTTTCCAAGATGTCTTCATCTCCAAAGGATCTTTTTTTTTTTTCTTCACTATTTTTACAACCCCCCATTTTCCTATCGCGAACGGTTAATCGGGACCGTTGGGATTTACTCGGGGATGGGTATCTCTAATTCAGTCAGGATTTACCCGTCGATGAATCCTTAAATTAGATGCCTCCAGTTCTTCAGCCTTGGTGATTTCATTTTTTCACTCGGCGATTTTGAATTCTTCTGGGTGAGGGCTGCTGCTCTTTTGAATTTCGACGGATTTGCAGGTGATGTGTGATTTTGCTGAGGACAGAGAGATATGATAAGCCATCCTGCGGCTTCCCCTGGGACTCTGGGATTAATTGACACATCGGTGTCTTGGAGAGTCGGCACTTGGAGCCTCTCGACTTGACGGATGACTTCACCGTCAACCGTTGGCGACTATTCCACCCACCAAAACCAACGTTTTTTGCTCGTTTCTACATCAGCTACAGAGGTAAAAGATTAAACGGTGAGGACTCGAGGAATTGTTGGGATTTGTCAGCAATAATTCCAGGGGATGTTGTCAACTCTCGAGAAAAATTGAGAGAAATTATGTGAAAAGGTATACAACACCGGAATCATTACATTATTTTCACCTTCTTCAATTCGAATTTGACATTTTTCTCATTCGACTTTTCTTTGATAATTAAAAATCCGCGGGGAATAATCCTGAGAATTTCCGGATTTTCCAGAATTTTTGGACATTTGAGCGGGAAAATTGAAATTCAATTGTCACAAAGTCGTCTGGATTTTATTTTATGAGTCTGAATTTAATTTTGATTGAAAACGATCATGAAATCTTGCTGACGATTGATTTTTTAATGAAACATTGAATTTTGAAAATTTTTATCACGAAAATTCGACAAAAAATGCAGTTAAATTTCCGGAAGATGGAAAATTTCGGAAAATTAACCAATTCTTCGATGAAAAATCGTCGATAAATTTCCCGTCACTTTGTCGTTGTTAAAAATTTCCAGTGAAAGTTTCGCCGCGGGGTTTCGGTTGAAGGTGAAATTTTGAAATAATCAGTTGAAGAATTTCTTCTCCTAAAATGAAAAAAAAATTGGCAAAGTACGAGGACTCCGGTCGGCAGAGGGTAGTGTCACCAGGAACATCCACCTCGGACGCGGCCGATGTGACAGATTAGAATTTAATGCGCGCTGAGGGGTGCTGAGACGCTAGTTAACGTTTTCCCGGGGTAAAAGCCTAAGGGCTGGTGTAAGTGAGAGACGAGATGATCGAGTCCTCATGACGATATTACTTGTTGGAAAGTGATCAAGCCGCTGGATGACGCTGTCTAACCAAGGGAAGAAGACATGTCAACGATAAAGTTTTGAAACATGAGAATAAGACGAGAACTGGTTATTAAATTTTGAGATAACGCATCCATGGATAATTGAAATTTGTTTTCAGAGCAAATTGTCGTGAGTGATTAATGGTGATGCAGAGAAAATAGCGGATGAAATAAAATTACATGGCAACACCGATAAAAGTTGTTGTGGTGGAGAGAAGAGAGGGTGGAATGCGGAATAAAAATCAGTGGAGGTGCGGTGGTCAGTGAAGAATGGTGATAAGGTAGCGGTGTATGAGAGAAATGGCGAGGGGATGAGGATATTTTCATGTAGTAACCCCAGACGCCTCTGGATAGCCGAGTCCGGGCCGGGCCAGGATGAATTATGGGCGTCCCGACGCCCGAACCCAACTGACGCTCAATTTACAGATGATTTCGTGTGTTACCACTGGCCAACGGCCGGTTAACCTCGCGCACTCCATCTTCCTGAGGAGGTTAACTTACGATAGTCAAAGCACTATCCGTCGGATTCACCCTAATTCAGTTGAAGGAACGCGAACACCCCCGCTATCCTGTCCACCATAAACCTTTACACCCTTTCGGATGGCCATGAACCGCGTACCAGGGGACCGTACTTTGCCAGATTTATTGGCACTCAATGGGCTCTGACAATGGGCCAACAAGTTGCTGGCGAGATCGTGATACATGTCTTTCGGGGATTCCTCGAGAGTTTATGTTCAACAACTCATAAACACCACCCCGGGATCACTGCCATCAATTACGTCAATCTGACTGGTGTTTTATGAATGGAAATCGTCAACAGCCCAATGACAACTCGTTGATGATCAACAAGATGAATTGCTACGGTCCAGCGGGGATTCCCGCATGTGAAGAGGGAAACGACCGTTAGAGGAACGGTAATTCGTTCCAAAGACGATCATTCACTCGTGAGAGAGTGTGTGGTTAAATAAAGGGTTTTCCAGTGGAAAACAACACGTGGTGGCCATCACTCAGGGTCAATTTCCACGGTGGTCAACTTCTCGTATGAAGTGGGAAAACGTGCGGTTTTTACGATGTGGCTTATTTGAATGTCCACATGCGGGTGCTGATGGTCACAATGAGCAGGAGTGGCTACTGACTGTCATTAGCCGTCGGGGAGTGCTGGCACCCTGGGGCGTTTACCAACAGAAGCTGGCTAATGACCGGAAGGCAATGTATCGCATATTGGTGAGATTGAATGTCTCCATCAACCCTTAGACATTGGGAATGACTCTTACCTTGCTGGCTGCTCTTCCTCGTCGTTTTTTTCTCCTTCATCCACGGATATTCCGGCACATTGACACCAGATGGATCAGAGACACCGTGAGGATCCATCATTATATGATAATTCGGATGATGCGCGCCAGGGCTCATGGATCCCACGGTCCCGGGTGAGTGCTGGAGTTGACCGTCGCTGGAGAGCTGTGGCATTGCTGATAATTCAGCCATTGATGGTTGGCTGTTGATGAAACCTGTCTCGGCTGGGCCGCAATTTGGATCCATCGTTGGATGATTAGCGTGCGGAGGCAGATTGGCACCAGCACCTGCCCCCGCTGCCACCGAGGCTAGCCAAAAGCCACCACCAGCTCCGGTTGCACCGGAGCACCCGTCGTTCGCCAGGACGGGTGTTGGCGACCGCGTCTTCACCTCCTCGATCACTTCGTTGTCTATCACACAATCGTAATTCTCCAACCGGAGCCCAATGCTCTGGTGGATTAAGTTGCTGGTGGTCTCCTCGGGGAAGTGCTCCTTGCCACGCATCAAACTCCAACGATCAGCGTCTCCTGATCGGCATCGATTCTCTAAATATCTATACCTGACGGTCAAATCACTGGATCTCCGCTGAAATATCACTCACTAGACACTTTTCATCTTATCAATACCATTATCCTATCCTAGTCACCAACTCAGGCACTAATATCACTTTGACATCGCCAAAGTACTGGGTAACTCAATAAAATTATAAACAAATCACTCGATTGCCGTCGACCGGGATTACCAGGCACTCACGACCAGCCGAGTACACGAAATGGCGGATACCGAAGGTAAGTTTTTGTTTCGAAAAAAAATTGACTTGTGGGGAGTACGTCTCGCTTGGTGACTACTTGGACTCGCAATGGTGAACAAGAAACACGTCATTCACCGCGAAATCCCTGTCCTCTGAGGTACGTATTTTTTTTTTCTCCTCCTTTTCTTTTTCTTCAGCGCTGCGGTGAAATGCTCTTCGGCGTTCACCGTGGCCTGTCTCTGTTGATACTGTTGTCTCGCTTCCTTCGTCTTCCAACACGGTGGCTGGCCAGAGGTTCTTGGCGGGTTGGCCACGTGACTCTGGTGCAACCAATGGGAGGGCGGTATCGGGCCCACGGAGGCTTTTACCCTCTCCTCCGGTGAACGGGGGCGTGATCGGCCCCCCTTACCGGGATGAAGGGTACCCGTTCACTCCTCTGCACCACCGGAGGGCTTTTCTTATTGCTCTTGTCCCCCGATTAGACGATCTATCGCGGTATGTGAAACACGGCGCGTCCAGACGGCGCGAGTGCGAGCGACTCTCTGGTTATCTCGGTGCCAAGGCAAAGGCGTCCACCGTACCCGCCAGCCCGTGGGCGGGACGCGCCAGCGCGTCTCTAGGTCCTGGGTGCTGGAGCCTCCAGTCAGTGGTGGGGGGACAGCACCATCACGTGCGAGACCACGCGGTCGGCTAGCTTCCGCGAGAGGTAAAAAATATATTTCAGCATTGATATTCTTGATGGAGAATATCTTTTTGAAGAGAATTGAATAATTTCTTCAGGGCAGTCCTCACCAGGTACTTCTAACTCCGACAATCAGACAAATCCCATTATCAGAGAAAATCATATCCCGAATATTGTAGTCTTCGCGATATCTCTGGAAGAGAAAAATTATTTTTCTCGGGATGGTTACGTTATTATAAAAATGAAAAGGTGGATTCTACGAATTTTGGGGTGGAAATCTTGGGTACGAGAGCTGAGTTCCATGTGCGGTAAACATTTGTCACGGAGACATGGATTAGCACGAAATGAAAGGTATCCCAGCAACTTGCAGCTTGTGCATTCCTTGGCCGAGGGAAATTTGTCTGGGATATAGTTCATTCTTAGCATTTTGTGCAACTGCTATATATTCTCAACCACATGCACAGGTCAGAGTAATTCTCACAGCGATTTATCGCTCCTGAGCTATTCCGGTTTCTGGTCGGTGCATTTAGGTTTTGCAATTATTTCTCGGGTATGAATTATCGGTGAATGCAGGAGAAGTCTATTTTTCAACAGATTTCTTGTTTATCAAACTTAAACCAGAGAAATCGCACAAGCCCTCCCCCAAGACGTGAATATTCCATTTAATATTTAAAAAACACCACTTGATTTTTTATCTCTCAGATAAATTTTCCAGAAATCTTTTTTCTGCAATCTGCACTTTTTTCGGGGGGTAGAAACAAAATCGGAAGGCAAAAAAAAAAGGATCACTTGACGTTTGAACCGTGCAGTTGGTAAAAATATTTTATACCCTCGCCGTCTGGTGTCATTCGTTGATTCGCTTGGGGCCAGTCTTGATGACAGATTACCCTGATTCACATTGTGTACAGCAGCGCTGATTTGGACAGCTCACTTGATCGAAAAGTTCACCGCCTAAAAATAATAATGGAAAGAATTTTGTCCCAGTACCCCAGTCCCATCCATTTTACGTTCGCCTGTCTCGATACTGCATATGCAAAGGGGAGTCACTTTTTCCTGCTCAATCAGAATTTCCAGAACTTTGCCCCTGGCTTTATTACACCCTATTTATATGCTAAATTATGAGCGAATGACGAAATTAATTCGTGTTTTTTTTCTTTTTGATCGATCGTTCCCTGTTGCTGCCTCCCAAAAATTTCCACGACAACTTTCGTTTTACCTCTGATTGTTTTAAAAATTGTTGTTAGAATATCAAGATAAAATTCATAGAAATATATTGAACTGATTTATGATGATTACAAAAATTAATCGATATCATAAACTAGTCTTTAGTCTCTTGGAGATATTAATCGTTCAGACTATTCTTCCTCGTGCGATTTTAATAAAGAAATAGTGATTAGAGTTCATTAATTGTCCTTTAATTAAATTCAATTGATAAATATAACAATTTTCAATATATAAACAAATTTTAAATTAATATATATATATATAATATATATTATATATATCATATATAATTATGTATAATATATTATAAATATATATATATATATTAATTATTTATATGAATATATTAATATGATATGTATAGCTTAGCTATGCGCCAAAAAAAACTGACAAAAAACGTTACATGCTTTTTTTTAAAAGGGAAATAAATAAAGATATATTTACTATATAATGGAATATATTTGGTTTCTGGGCGGTTGACTATGGCGTGTGTGACTATAGGATTTTGAGACGGGAATCACGGAATTTTATTAAAAATATTCGGTGGATGATCTCGCTATTATATACCGCCTAGTGGGTTGCGCCTGTGGTGAAATATTTGATATATCAAAGAGTACGGGATCCAGAGGCACTGCACATATAATCCACCCTGACACAGACTCTCTCTCTCTGCAGGCTGTGAGCACTGGGGTGTGCAGAGGAGTACATGCCGAGGCGCCACATCTGCCGCCAAATTTAACTATACATTACAGACACACGATATGTCAAAGTCCTATACTCCATATCGACTCTGCCATTTATTAAAAGTTTCATCCAACACCAGACGGAATCTACATGCGCGATACCGGGACATTCTCCTGTCTCAATATTTATTTTTTCCAAAATTTTGAATAACGGAAAAACCGGGAATTCATCGGTTATGGAGATAATTATTTATTAACAATTTGAATTTCTCCATTCGAGACTTGAGAGTCGGACTTGAGTCCGGGAAATCGGGACTTGAAATTTTGGGTCTTTTTTTTTTGGTCATTTGGGATTTTTGATTTTTAAGTCGAGGTGGAGTTTCATGTCGAGTTTTTTGATGGATTTGGTTTTAAAATCTTGAGGGTTTCAAGTTGGGACTTATTCAAGTCCCACGTCGTAATTTTTACGAGATTTAGAGTTAATCCAGTGAAAAAATTAAGATGAGGGTTTATAATTCCACTTGAATATTTTTTACAATCTCAAATTTAAAAAAGTCTCAAGTTTATCGGAAGTTTCAAGTCGAGACTCTCAGGACTCAAGTCGAAAAAGTAGTAAGTCCCAACTTTCAGAACCCTTCAATTAAAACTTCTTACCTGAAATAAAGATATAATAAAGTTTTACCTCAGGACTTGTCCAAGTTTAAAAATATCTTAAAAATCCCGTGAGTCCCAAAAATCAAGTTCGACTGGCCCATTTTTTTCTGACGAGAAAAAAAAATCATAAAATTCTCCTTTTAATTTTCGGAGGAAATTAAAATTCGGATCAATTCCAATTGCAGAAAATTGGAGACTCAAATGAAAAAAAGTTTTGAAAGAAAATAAGAATTTCTCCTGACCCTTTTTTGTGACGACACTGGCATTTCTATCTGCCAGACGTTCTCTTCTTTTCTCTGCCTGCCACCTCTATTGCGAAATGAAGTTTTATATTAAGCTTCAAGTTTTCTCTCCACACCACCCCTCTATTCCTCCCATTTCGATCTGCACCAGCCCTCACCCCTGACTGTCAGTGAATGGTTCTTCAACCTCTCTCTTGCTCTCATCCTGCGCACTTCAAAGTCTCACCCTGGTACATTTACGTACCGATAGATCGTTATGTCGAGCGTTTGCATATATATTGACATTTCTGACTTACTCGTTTTCTTATGTCTCCCGTTTTTTATTTTTTTTTTCTGCCTCGTGAAATATGGGCCAAGTGACGGAAGTTAGTCTTCATTTTTTTTTGATCCATGATACAGGTGTCTCCAAGCACATGACGATTTTTCATCAGATCATAGTTGTCGTCCTGGGATGTGGGCACATCATTTCTCCATTTTTTATGCAATTTTAGATTATTAAAACCTCTCATTTGGTAACGAATTGTTATGGTATATTAAATGTTGGGTATTGAGACTTGTATAAAAATTTTGGGGAAAACTTTTCGCCATTTTGAGTCACAAGTTCTGACTTTGGAACATTTTTATTCAACTCGAATTTCTAATAGTGTGGGACTTCAATTTTTTTCGAGTCTTCAAGTCTTCAATTTCTTCAATTTTTTCAATTTTTGAAAAATTTTTCAAAAATTTGTTTCGGAAAACTTTTTCATAATTTTCTAGAAATTTTTGCTAATATAATTTTTTCTTTTAATTAAATTGATGTTTTCTTACTTTTTTGATTTTTCAATATTCTCAAAAAATACTCTATCTAAATTATAAAAAAAATGTTCCTATTTAAATTTTTGAAAAATTTTCAAAACCTTTCGTAAAAATAAAATTGTTTTGTTGTCGGTTTTTTTTTTTTTTTTTTTTTTTTTCTTAAAAAAATTTTTGAAAGTTTTTCCGGAATTTTTTTAAAATTTGGAGAAATTTTT